GCCTCGCGAGAGCGCGCATTGTGAACGCATGACCTCCAGCATTGTCGCTGGGCTTTGCTCTGGAGGCTAAAAGGTCTGCTGTAACCAGAAGCGCTAGAACAGAAAACCTCACAAAATAAAGAACTGCCGTTCCATGATTGTTCCGTATGGCAACGGATCCGCTAGACCAGACAAACTCACGAAGTTAAGAGCTGCTGGTCCATCACACAATGATATTCCAACTTGCTGAGCTGGGGAAGGCATACCCCATACAGACCACATCAAGTATCAAGGCGCTGCCCTGTGATGCAAGATACCACGTGCGAACGTCAAGCGTAGAAGCAGGACCGCCTGCATCGCTGCCAGGCTATGTCCTGGAGGCTATCGCCAAGTCAGCGGACGGATATTGCGAGAACGAACAAACTAACGAAACAAAGGGCTGCCATTCGAGTACGAAACTCTCACAAGCGCAAGCGTGGAAAAGGTTCACTGTGTGGAACTAATTAATTACATCGTGCGAACGTACATTGTGAACGAAGGTCCGCCGGCGTTGCGACCCGGCCATGTCCTGGAGGCCACACCTTCGACTGGGAACGGAATCGCTAAGACGGGTAAGCACACGAACCGAAGAACTGCCGATCTACGAATGAACTTTCAATCGTACTAGGCTGGGGAAGGCTCACCCACATACAGCCGTATCAGGGTGCTGCCCTGTAGAAGGGCCAACGTCCCAGCATGATGGGGCAGCACAGTACCACAAACAAAGGAAACGCACTCGATGAAATCGAGGCGAAATGGAGCAAACCAACTGACCTGTAATGCCTCGCATTCGCCACGGCAGGAAAACATGCCTCAAAAGTTTGAGACTGGTGACGGCTCACCCCTATACAGCCGTATCAGCGGGCTGCCCTGTGACAAAGCCAATATCCTAGCATGAGGGTGTCACGACAAAAGAACGCAGTTGAGGAAGTCGAGGCGGAAATGCGTAAACCAACTGGACCATAACGCCTGGCATTCACGGCGAAAAGAAAACAATCTTCAAATGTACCAGACTGGGGAAGGCTCACCTTCATACAGCCATATCTAGGCGCTGCCCTGTGGAGGTATAGACGTCGCGTGAGTGCCAAAGGTAGCACGACTCGTAAAGCATGTATGAAGGAACTAGGAAGCGTAGTCCAGCCTCCTGATATATCGAGTGAGCTACTGGTCGCTCGATATGGTGGTTCTCACATGGGCTTGGGAAAACCCCGATTTGAAAGCAGATTGCCTGTGTCGCCCTGGTGACGGAACTCCGGAGACCACATGATCTCTTTACAGGCGTCCCGTGCGTCCTCCCCCGACTACCCAACTGGAGCCCTTCGCACCATTTGTACGGGGGAGGGAGGGAGGAGGGAGAAGGAGGGAGCGGCAGGAGGGAGAGGGAGGAGGGAGGGAGGAGGGATAGCGAGGAGGAAGGAGGTGGGAGGAAAAGGAACAAGGCATCCCTTGCCAATTTCTCGCGCCACGTCGGTTTTGCGTCGTCCCTTTGGGCCCTCAGGAAACATGCACCCATCCACAAGAGTGGTCCCAAGGTGGTCTGGTCCTCCACATGTCTGTGGCTAACCAGCATCGCCTCCGAATTCTTGCACGGCTCATGCATGTTGTATGGGTTTACCAGCACTCTGCATACATACAGCGCTTCTGCGGGGAAGCGCAAGTCGAGGGCGTCTCAGACCCTGTCTCGCTAGTGCTCGCCGTCCTGCTCATGCGTGGTATTCGGCAGTATCTCGGTGTGTCCAAATACGTGGTTTTCCTGGATTCGAAATGGGGCTTCGGCGGCGCCATCCACAGCGGCATGCTGGTGAACAGCTTCACGGCTGGCGTTGTTGAAGGGGCTGGCTCTGGATCGGCGATGTCGTCCGCACGGACAGGCAGGTGCTCGAACTGCACGGCCTGCTTTCATTGCTCGTGGGACCGCCCAAGGGCCAGCGATTCTCGGCGCCTCTGTCCAGTTCACTACTGCGCAGGCAGTCCCGGGGAGGGGCCTGCGCCTCCCTCCCATGCCTGAGCGCGGGAGGCGTTGCTGGGGTCGCAGGCAATCGCGCCACCAGTGTCTCTGGACGGCCTCCCCTCCGATGTTGATTATCCGCGAGCCTTTGCCGAGGTGGTCGGCGCGATTGGATGACAAGCAGCGGCGCTGGGTGAGCGACCGGGCGAGCAGGCCGCAACCGCCCTGGCGACCCTGCCCCGCCTGCCTGGCCGACCGCCTTGCCACCGTCGAGCTGCTGGGTGGCGCGTCCCTGGGCCCGTCCCAGAATATCGATGATGCGCTCGGGGCGTGCTCATCGATTGGTGCGCTTCCCATCAGTCTAGACCAGACCGTCCCCTCTGCTACAGTGTGCTGCGCACGGCAAGCCAAGGCGTGCTTCGACTGTGGAACGGACAAGGCATCAGCCATGGTACGTAATCGGGCAGAGCCCCACCTTCGACTCCACTGCCATGGGATTCGACCTCTGCACGTCCAGGCTAAAACTGGATATCGTCTTCGACGCTGATCTCACTTTGGACACTTTTGCGCGAACGCTGCTCGTGCGCGGGAGGGCCCTTTTTGACGAACTCCTCCAGGCCGCAGACGCGGGTGGCTTCCCGCACCAGTGCTCGCAACGCAAGTTCCCTCCAGGGTGGGCCCATCATGTACGGGGCTGCGTTCCTCGTAGACGTGCCCCACATCGAATCCGACCTAAACAGCCTGTAGGCATACTGGGCCGAAGCTACACTAAGGCGCTCTCCTGGGTCCAATGTAGTTGGGGGGTAGCGTTTAGGGAGGCAGATGCTCGAGCAAGCGATCATTGCGAGGGCGTGCTCCCCAGCGGCCACCCCGCAGTGGAGATGCGAGGCAGCCCGCCACTCGCCCGCCCCGACGTGGTGGAGGCAAGCCGGCCTACTACTTGAGGAGGTGCCATGCGGCCGCATCCCAAACATCGTCAACATCACGCTGGTATCGATCAAAATCGCAGGCGCGGCGGCAGACCCAGGAGAACGGAAAGCGCAAAAGTTTATTCGCCCAGCTCTACGAGAATATGACTGGGCGGCATACCAGGTGGCGGCCGCTCGTCCCCTACCTTCCTGCAGTGTCCCCTTCTCCTCTTTCCAGCTCGCGGCGGACGCTGTGACGGGAGAGGACATGATGTCATTTGAAGATATGCGATCTCTGCGCTTCCGCCTGTGGCCAGTATGCAGGTTTGCTAGCGGGCGCTGGCCACTCCCGGTGTTTGGAGGTTAGGACTCGCCAGTCGTGCTCGCCTCTTGCGGTGCCTGCTCGTACAGGGACGTGCCAGTCACCCACGGCCCTGTTGGCGTGCGTTGGCACTTCCGCCTTCCGCAGGGAGCTATGCCGGCGTACCCCAATGCCCACCCGTGGATCCACAAGAGGAATACTGAATGCACTCTTTGGGCCCGAGCGTGGGCCAGACCGCGTTCGCTTCGTGGCACGCGCACTCTTACTATGCGGCGGGGGCCATCAAGGGGCAGTCCGTGCTGGAACGGCCGCGAACTGAGCGCCCAGCAGGGCTGGCGGGCGAACTTCCTGGGTGCGCACTTCCTGCCCTGCGCGCGGCGGCGCTGCGAGGCGCGTAATAGGGAGCGCGGTGCCGGCGGGAAACGAGAAACGAGATACGAGGGAGAATGAGGAGGAGGACGAAGGAGGGGGGAGGAGGGAGGAGGGAGGAGAGGTGTGGAGAAGCAGGGGGAAGGGAGGAGGGAGGGGAGGAGCAGAACGAACCTCTCCGTCGCCGCGGCCTGCCTGGACGGTCCACACCTCGATCCCTGATCGACGGCGGTCCCTGAAGGCGCGGGGCGCCCCGCTGATTGCGACCAGGGCCTGATCGGCCGCCCCCCCCCCCCCATGGAGCCGCAGCCAGACCGCAGATCGGCCAGGCCTGGGCGGCGGGGTCAACCGGGCGGTCAGGGATCTGGAAAAGGCGGAGGGAGGGAGGTGGTGGAACGGGCGGAGGAAGAGAAATAGTAAGAATGGAAATAACGACAACAGTCAGAAAAACAGCGACAATAACAACAACAATAATGTTTAACAACGCTAATAACGGTTGAAAAGAGACATACAAATAACAAGAATGAGAACACTGGCACCAACAACAACAACAATCCGACCATCAATTAATGGTAACACTGATACTGGTCATGGTAATAGTAATAGTTCATAGCAAGCATAACACGAATACATAAATACAAGAAGACGAGGAATACTCATACTAAAAGCAATGAGGACAAGAAGACCATTCGTGATCACATCAACAATCGTAATACACATCATAATAAGAACACCCGTACATACACACAATCACCATATTGTTCCAAATCGCTAGAACAATGATAAGCGTAAGCCTGCTCGCAATCACAGTCATGAGCATAAGCTTAAGCATGAGTGCATAATCATAATTAGTAACATGTTCGTAATCGTCATCTGAATAAGCGCCATAATGAATACATACATATATAGCAATGGCACTACAACGGTCAACAACAACCACACAGCAAGAGGGGAGGAGGTGGAGGAAGAGGCGGAGGGACAAGAGGGGGAGACAGGAGGAGGGGGCCAACAAGGAAGAGGAGGAGCGGGATGAAGGGAAGGGCTAAGAATCAGCAAGCGTCTGAGGGGAGGGAAAGGAGGACGAGAAGGAGGAGGAGGTGGAGGAGAAGGAGGAGGAGGAGGTGGGGGAGAAGGAGGCAGA